GCAGATCTCATTTGCAGAGGGCTTCAGAGACCGGGTTGCCCGGTTGCCATCTTGCCGCTTCTCTCCCATCTTGCCGCTTCTCTCAAGACGTTTTTAGAAAATAATTCCTTAACAGATATATAGCTACAGTGATATAAAGTGTGGTTTTATCATAGTAATAGACAAATATACCAATGGAGCAGAATGAAGAAGCCAGATATAGCTCAAAGGATATGTTGGAACTTTGTATATGATAAATGTGGCATCTCATGTTAGCAGAGTAAAGATGAATTAGAGTTGACCCTTGAGAAAAGGGTTTGAGTTGCGTGGGTCCACTTATGGTTTTCAACCAAATGGAAATTGAAAATACAGTATTCTCATGAAGCAAAACCTATGTGTACAAAATGCCAACTTTTTACATAGGTAAGTTCTGTAGGGTTGACTGCGGAACTTGAGTATGCACAAATTTTGGTATATGCACTGGGAGGGGATCCTGAAGTCAAACCCCTGAGTATCCAGGGACAACTACATTTTTTAAAAATTTTCTTTATTTAGCTTAATTTTTTTTTTTTTTGAGTTGGAGTCTCACTCTATCACCCAGATTGGTGTGCAGTGGCCGCTCCTGGCCACCGCAGCCTCTACCTGCTGGGCTTTGGCAATCCTTCCGCCTCACCCTTCCAAGTAGCTGGAACTACAGGCGCACACTACCACTCCCACTAATTTTTTGATTTATTGTAGAGATGAGGTCTCGCCAATTTGCCCAGGCGGGTCTCGAACCCACGGGCTCAGGCAATCCACTCACCTCAGCCTCCCAAAGCACGGGATTACAGGCTGAGCCACCAAGCCCATCTTCTTTATTTTTTAATAAATATTTTAAAGATGTGGGGTACAATTCAGGGTTAGGTATACAAATGTTCATTATGCAGGTACCCTTGTTGATGAGGTCTGCCCCCTTCTCCCAGCAAATTCCCACTACTGTCATTCCCATCCCACCTCCCACCCCACCCCCGTGGCAATTTCCTGTTGTTGCCAATCCTTTTCTTAAAGTATTATGATAATTGTTCAGTGTCCACTTATGAGTGAGAACATATGATCCTCAGTTCTTTGTTTCTGTGATAGATCACTATTATAGCCTCTAAGTTCATCCAAGTTTCTGCAGAGTTCATAATTTTTTCTTGTTCTATGGCTGTGTGACATTTCTTAATGTATATGTGCCACATTTTTTTTTATCTAGTCCTCTTTTGATGGGCAGCATGGTTGGTTCCATGTTTTTGCTGTTGTGAAAAATGCTGCAATAAACGTGCGTGTGCCAATATCTTTTTTCATAAAGCAATTTGAGTTCCTCTGGGTATATTCCCCAGAGAGATTGTGTGGTCATATGGAAGGTTGATTTTTAGATCTTTAAGGAATTCCCAAACTGTTTTCCACAGAGCTTGTACTAGTTTGCACCCCCACCAACAGTGTTGAAGTGTTCCCATTTAGTTACATCCTCTCCAGCATCTGTTGTTTGTTGAGTTATTGATGATGTCCATCCTGACTGGAGTTAGGTGATATCTCAGTGTGGTTTTAATTTGCATTTCTTTGATGACTAGCGAGGCTGAGCATTTTTTTATATATCTGTTGGCTGCTTGTATGTCTTCTTTTGAGAAGTATCTGTTCATATCTTTTGCCCACTTTGTAATGGGGCTGTTTGTTTTTTTCTTTTCGGCACGTTTGAGTTCCTTGTAGATCCGAGAAGTTAGGCCTTTGTCAGATATACATTTGGCAAATATTTTTTCCCAGTTTGTGGACTGTCTGCCTGCTCTCTTGATAGTTTCTTTTTTTTAGTTTTTTTTGGTTTTTTTGAGTTGGAGTCTCACTCTGTCGCCCAGACTGGAGTGCAGCGGCCACTTCCGGCCACCGCAGCCACGACCCACTGGGCTCCGGCAATCCTTCCGCCTCAGCCTTCCAAGTAGCTGGAACTACAGGTGCGTGCTACCACAACCAGCTAATTCTTTGATTTATTGTAGAGATGAGGTCTCGCCAAGTTGCTCAGGCGGGTCTCGAACCCACAGGCTCAGGAAATCCAGTCACCTCAGCCACCCAAAGCGCTGGGATTACAGGCTGAGCCACCAAGCCCAGCTTCTCTTGATGGTTTCTTTGGCTTTGCACAAGCTTGTCAATTTGATGAGGTCCCACTTGTCTATCTTATCTCTTATGACATGGGCACTTGGGGTTTTGATCAGGAATTGGCAACCAATTCCAATTTCTGTAAGGGTATCTTCTGCATTTTCTAAGGTTCATAATATAGTTTGAGGTTTTACGTTTAGGTCTTTGGTCCATTTAGAGTTGATTTTTGTGTATGATGATAGGTAGGGGTCTTGTTTTAATCTTCTGCATGTGGTCAGCCAGTTTTCCCAGCACCGTTTACTGAATAGGTTCCCCTCTCCCCAGTGATTGGTTGTGGAGGCTTTGTCGAAGATGAGTTGGTTGAGAAATTGATGTTTTGCTTCTGGAATTTCTGTCCTATTCTGTTGGTCTGTATGCCTGTTCTTGTACCAAATCCAGGCTGTTTTGATTATTGTCATTTTATAATAACGTTTAATTAAAATCTGGGAGTATGATTCCTCTTGCTTTGTTTTTTGTTTTTGTTTGTTTGTTTGTTTGTTGCTGAGGATTGTTTTGGCTATTCGTGGTCATTTATGTTTCCATATGAATTCTGTATTGCTTCCAGGTCTGAGAAGAATGCTGCTGGTAATTTAATGGGTATTGCTTTAAATCTGTAGATTGCCTTGGGTAGAATGAACATCTTAATGTTGATTCTTCCAATCCATGAGTATGGAATATTTTCCCATTTGTTTGTGTCATCTTTGATTTCTTTGAGGAGTGTTTTGTAGTTTTCATGGTAAAGGTCTTTCACATCCCTAGTTAGGAAAATGCCAAGGTATTTCATTTTTTTTGTGACTATTGTGAATGGGATTGTGCTTTTTATTTGGATTTCTGTTTTTTTATTGTTGATGTATAAAAATGTGACTGTCTTTTGCACATTTATCTTATACCTTGATCTTTGCTAAAGTCCTTTATCAGTGCAAGTAGGTTTTTGACTGATTCTCCTGGGTTTTAGAGGTATAGAATCATGTCATCTGCAAAGTGGGATAACTTTTGACGTCCTCTTTTCCTGTTAGGATACCCCTGATCTCCTTCTCTTGTTGGATTGCTCTAGGTAGTACTTCCAAAAGTATGTTAAACAGGAGGGGTGAGAGTGGGCATCCTTTTCTTGTTCTGGTTTTCAGGAGAAATGGTCCCAGTTTCTGTGTGTCTAGCAGTATGCTGGCTGTGGGTTTCTCATAGATGGCTCTTACTGTTTTGAGATACGTTCTATCTATGCCTAGATGTTCAAGGGTTTTTATCAAGAAAGGGATGCTGGATTTTATCAAAAACTTTTTCTGCATCTAATGATATAATCATGTGGTTTTTGTCTTTACATCTATTGATGTATTTAATTACGTCTATGGTCTTGTGGATGTTGAACTAGCACTGCATCGCAGGGATGAAGCGTACTTGGTCTGGTGGATGATTTTTGAGATGTGTTGTGGGATCCAGTTTTCTAGAATCTTGTTGAGAATTTTAACATATATGTTCATCAAGAATATTGGCCTGTAGTTCTCTTTCTTTGTTGTATCTTTATCTGGCTTGGGTATCAATGTGATGTTAGCTTCATAAAATGATTTGGGGAGAGTTCTATCTTTCTCAGTTGCCTGGAATACTTTCAGTAGTATTGGTATCGGTTCCTCCTTGTATGTTTTATAGAATTCTGCTGGAAAACCATTTGGTCCAGGACTTTTTTTGTAGGTAGTCTTCTTATTACATAGTCAATTTCCTTGATTGTTATTGGTCTATTTAGGGTCTCAATTTCTTCTTATTTCAACCTGGGAAGGTTATGTGATATCAGAAAGTCCTCCATTTCCTTTAGGTTTTCAAGTTTGTTTCCATACAAGTGTATATAATAGTCTCTGATAATCTTTTGTATGTATTCTCTGATTATCTTTTATATTTCTGATAATCTTTTGTATAGTAGTCTCTGATAATCTTTTGTATTTCTTGTATTACTTGATCTTTTGCATTTCTGATTGTGTGTTTATTTGGGATTTTTCTCTGTTTTTCTTGGACAGTCTGGCTAGGGGTCTATCAGTCTTGTTTATCCTTTCAAAGAACCAGCTTTTTGTTTCATTGATTTTTTTTTTTTTTTAATATTTTTGTCTTCTATGTTTGGGCTTTTATTTTGGTGAACTGGAGTCTTCTGCTGAAGTTAGGGTTTTTGTGGTCTTGCTTTTCCAGCTTCCTTAGATGATTTGTTAGGCTGTTAACTTGTGATCTTTCCATTTTCTTCATGTGTATTCATAGAGATATGAGTTCCCCTCTTAGTACTGTTTTCATAACATCCCAGAGGATTTGGTAAGATGTTTCTTCGTTTTCATTTGTTTCCGGGTATCTTTTAATGACAACTATATTTTTAGAATCTGGTGTTTTATGTGAGAAAATAAGTTTATAAGGCTGCCTCTATTTTGTTTAATAGGAATTTACAGTTTTTATTATATACATTTTTTACCTTACATGCTGACTTTAAAGACTAACCAAAAAAATTTTGACCCACTGTATTTTCCTTAGCTGATACCCTAGACACAAGTAAATAACAAAAAGGAAATCTGTTTGTAAAAACCAAAAACCTGTCTAACGTTAGCCCGTGGGGGAAATAGAGTAAATGGGAGTAATGATTAAGAGTCTATGTTAAGTAGTATAGCACTTATCAAGATAGGTCCTTTTCTCTTCTTAATTACTTGTAAATTTTATAGAGGTGTTCTTAATCTGGTGAATTCAGAAAATACAGAGCCTGCACTTTATTCAGAAAATAATAACTACATTTTGAACCTAGTCTTAGAACAGTGTTTGAGATTTTCCACCTTCCTCATTAGTAGCTGTGTTATGCACCTGAAATATCATTCTCTATGTATTGTGCTCTCTGCTTTCCTCCCCAGGAGCGGCCTGCTTCAGACTCCTGGCAGAAACTTGAAAAGTCTCGTGAATATAAGAACAGTAACCAGCTTCGGGAATACCAACTTGAAGGGATGAACTGGCTTCTTTTTAACTGGTATAACAGGTGAGGAACCAGAACTAGTCTAAGTGTTTGAACCTGGAGGTGTATTGTTGCCTTAGCCTAGAAAACTTAGAGTAGGAGAAGCAGAGGGGTGAGAGGGAGCAGTGTAACCATTGATTTAGGGTGGTAATTGTTGAATATTAGTCATTCAATCCTTACTTTATATTTATGTCAAGTATCTCTTTAACCAAAAGGAATGATCTAGAGATGATCTTAACATCATTTACTTTGTGCTACTGCCACTGTTCCCTTTGTTTTTCTTTTTGCTAGTCTACCCAAAAGGTTAGCCTTAACCTAAATGGAAAAAAGAAAAATTTTTTTTTACTTTAAAACTTTTTTCTAACTCTTTAACCAAAAAAGGGAGGAGGGAGGAGGGAACTCTAAAGGGAATAGGTCTAGATTCTAGCCCTCATTCTCTACTTGCTTGTAAACCATGGGTGTACTGGATTTACATTCTAACACTAAGTTTGAACTCTCTGTGATCTGATTCCTCTCAAAGTCTAATTGTAACTGGTGAAATTTGTGAAACATAGTTTAAGATTTTCTGGAATCACCAAATAGTGATTTTTAAGACAGTATATTGTAACACAAAACACACCAAGATGGGACCTTCGAGAACTGTGTTCTAGTGTAATTTCTGCCACTTATTCACTGTGTGACCCAAAGCACAGCTCACCAACATGTCCAGGTCTTGGATTACCCTATCAGGACAGTGATAGGAATAAAACCAGATGGTGGCCACACCTCTTTCAGAGCCACAGCTCTGGTGTGCAGTCTGTGATTCAGGATCGACAGAAGAGATCATTCTTTTTACTCTTAGGAAGAATTTATCATATGAGTTAAAAGTTTGTCCTTTGATAATAAACAAATTACAGACAATGAGAATCACATAGCTTGCTATATTTTTATTTTTACCCTGACTTCCAGAAAGGTTGTCATTTGCAGAAACTGGCATAGGTTTGGGGCATAGTTTTTCTTCTTGTCTTAATATTATTTTAATTTTTATTTATTATACTTTGTATTTCAATAGACTTACTTCATACATAGTCATGCACTACATAATGATGTTTAAGCATAGCCCGCATATGCAATGGTGTTCCCATAAGGTTATAATGAAACTAAAAAAAACTCTTGTCTTTTAGTGATGTTGGAGCTGTTAAGTTTTATGTAACACATTACTCATGTATTTTTAGTGGTGTTGATGTAAACAAACCTACTGGCCCACCAATCATATAAAAAGTCTAACACATACAATTATATATAGTACATAATACTTGCTAATGATGATGAGTTTTTTACTAGTTTATGCACTTACTCTACTTTTTAATCATTATTTTAGTGTATTTCTTCTACTTATTAATAAAAAGTTAACTGTAAAATAGTCTCAGGCAGGTCCTTCGGGAATTACTCCAGTACTTATAATCATAGGAGATGATGGCTTCATGCATATTGTTACCCCTGAAGACATTCCAGTGGGACAAGATGTAGAGGTGGAAGACAGTAATATTGATGATCCTGACCCTGCATAGGGTCACAAGCCTAGGCTAATGTGTATGTTTGTGTGTTAGCTTTTATCAAAAAAAAGTCTAGAAAATAGAAAATAAAAAATTTGAAAATAGAAAAAAACGTATAGAACAAGGATACAAAGAAAAACATGGAGCCAACTGTGCTGCCCATCAAAACTGGACTTTATAAAAAATATGGTACGTATATACAATGGAATATTATACAGCCATAAAAAAGGACAAACATATGGACTTTACGGCCATTTAAATAGATTTAGTGTCTATAATACTCAGTGATTTATCACAGAAACAAAGAACAGAGTACCACATGTTCTCACTCATAAGCTGTCCCTGATCATTTACCATAATCATATAACCATATAAGAAAGGGATTGGCAGTAGTGGGACACTGCCAGGGTGGGGGAGGGGGTAGACACAACATCAGTAAGGATACCTGGTCTCAAACCAGGCAAAGTAGGGACCAAAGAGAGGCCTAAACTTTACCTGTACAATGTCCTCTTGTATACCTAATTCTGAATTGTACCACACATCTTCAAAATAAAATATTTTTTATAAAAACCTTTGGTACAGCTGTACAGTGTGTTTTAAACTGTATCATTACAAAGAATCAGAAGTTTTTAAAAATTTTAAATTTATGAAGTAGAAAAGTTACAGTAAGCTAAGATTAATTTATTATTGAAAAAAGAAAAATATTTTAATTTGTATAGCTTTAGAGGGTACAGATAGTTTTTGCTTACATAGATGCGTTGTATAGTGGCGACAAAGTCTAGGCTTTAAGGGTACCTGATAGGTAATTTTTCATCCCTTCACACCTTCCTATTCTCCCTCTTCTGAGTCTCCAATGCCCATTATACCATTCTATATGCTTTTGCAGATCCTTAGTTTAGCTCCCACTTACAAGTGAGAACAGTGTTTGGTTTTCTGTTCTTGTGTTAGTTGACCTAGAATGATGTTCTCCAGTTCATCCAAGTTTCTGCATTCTTTAAGAAAAATATTTTTTGCCAGGCTCAGTGGCTTAGCCTGTAATCCCACGCTTTAGGTGGCTGAGGTGAGTGGATTGCCTGAGCCCGCGGGTTCGAGACCCGCCTGGGCAACTTGGCGAGACCTCATCTCTACAATAAATCAAAAAATCAGCTGGGCATGGTAGCGATGCCTATAATTCCGGCTACTCGGAAGACTGAGGCGGATGGATCTCCAGAGCCCAGTGGGTCAAGGCTGCAGTTACCAGGAGCGGCCACTGCACTCCAGTCTGGGCAACAGAGTGAGACTCCAACTCAAAAAATATATATATATATTTTTTTTTTTTTTTTTTAATAAATTTAGTGTAGTCTAAGTGTACAGTGTATGTAAGATCTACAGTGGTATACAGTAATGGCATAGACTTTTGCATTCACTCACCACTCACCCATTGCCTCATCCCAAACAACTTTCAGTCATGGAAGCTCCATTCATGGTAAGTGTCGTATACAGATGTACTTTAAAAAAATCTTTTATATCCAATTACTGTGCCTTTTCTATGCTTAGACACAAATTCTTGCCATTGTGTTATAGTTACCAGCAGTATTTCAGTTTAGAAACATGCTGTACAGGTTTGTAGTCTAGAAGCAATAGGCTATAACATATGGCCTAGGTGTGTCGTAGATTATACCATCTAAGTTTGGGTAAGTACACTCTAGAATGTTCACACAACAGCAAAATTGCCTAATGACACAATTCTCAGAATATGTCCCCATCCTTAAAACCATGCTTGACTAAATTTTCTCCCAAGTTAGCATAGTTCCATTTTGGAAGTAGAGAGGGTTTGAATAATAATAATAATGATAACTAGCATCAGTTTAATCTGTAAAATGATGAAAAAACCTTCACTGATGATCTACAGGTTAATGTGTATGTTTGAATCTTTTTAAGTTATAACCAACCTCTACAACTTTCCTGTATTGTTAATGAGTTACCTGTTTCTCACTCTCTACAGAAAAAACTGTATTTTGGCTGATGAGATGGGCCTAGGGAAAACCATCCAGTCCATCACATTTCTTTCGGAAATATTCCTCAGGGGAATCCACGGCCCTTTTCTTATTATCGCCCCTCTCTCCACCATCACTAACTGGGAGCGGGAGTTCCGAACATGGACGGAGATGAATGCCATTGTGTACCACGGCAGCCAGATCAGCAGGCAGATGATCCAGCAGTATGAAATGGTATACAGAGATGCACAGGTGAGCCTCACATGAATCACAAAGACCCAGAGATCGCTTGAGCTCAGAACCACCTTTCTGTCACTTATCTTCAGGAGTTTCAGTGCCCTGCATCTTAGGTTACTGTTGACTGACTTTGTAGTATCATGTTTTTGTTATGGCTGACTTCTTGATCCTCCCTGGTAGTTTTAATTTATGATACAATTCAGGATTGTAGGGCATACTTTCCAAACCCTGAGACCTTTCTTTTTAGGACACTGAAAACTTGGCTGGTTGGTTGACTTCTGAAGTTACTTTTATATGTAGAAGATTTTATCCAAATTGTTTTGTGCTTAGTGAAGAAAGTGAGCAGAGTAACTAGTGTACAACGAATGAATTCCCAGCCAGGAAGTTTGGAGAGAAGGTTAACAGATTTGACAGGGAAAGATAAAGAGAAGATAGGTTTCAAATAGTTAAAAACACAACAGAACTTTTTCTAAAAGTTTTTTTTAAGTGTAATCACTTTCCTGAATATGGTTGTGCTTGCCCTGGGCATTGGTTTTTTTATAATTAAGCAAGTGCACTACTGTCCAGGGGTTTCATAGACAGCAGAGACACTTGGAAGAAATTTAAGATGTGCTCTAACAAAATGCAACTCTGCTTTTAGAAGATGGTAACACCAAGACAAACTAAAAAACAAAGCTATATCCTGCCTGGTAGCACTTGTCCCAGGTCAATCAGGGTCATTATGTTGCATCTCTACTAGAACCCAAGTTACAAGGTGAAATTAATTAAATCTGAAAAGTAGCAGAGGATTTCTTTGGACATTCAAGCTATGCATGGTTTAGACTGACTCCTGGCTGAGACTGCCTGGCTGCCTTCCTTATCGTGGTAGTTAGTAAATAAAATAAAAAACTCACTTGATGTGCTTTCCGTATTGCTCATCCTTCTCATCTTTGTGAGAGCAAATGCTGTCTTGCCTCTGTTTCATTAATTCATTGATATTGTAACGTCTTTGTCTTGTCTAAATAGCTGGTTCATTCTTATATTCTCTCTTTTCTCACATGAGGAAAAGCAGTGTTGTCTTCTCATCTAGGCCCTAACATTTGTAGCGCTGCCTCTTCTAATCCAGCAGATAACCCCTTAGAAGAATTATCTATAACAATGGCATAAAGCTTTGCATTTGGTTGTATCATCCTCAGGGAAACCCCCTTTCAGGAGTTTTCAAGTTCCATGTTGTCATCACAACATTTGAGATGATCCTGGCAGACTGCCCAGAGCTTAAGAAGATTCACTGGAGCTGTGTGATAATTGATGAAGCCCACAGATTGAAGAATAGGAACTGCAAACTTCTGGAGGGGCTAAAGCTCATGGCCCTGGTGAGAGTTAGCAGCTCTTTACATAACCATAGATTCCTTCTCTTTAGCTTGAGGGAAGCATTCTTTAGCCATTTGGCATGTAGCTTGTGTTTAGTCCTTTTACTTTAGATTTTCTTTTTGCCCTCTACAGCTATGATAGTATAGAAATCACATTTTTGTTTTGTTTTGTTTTGTTACATACTGGGTCAACAATTTGGCCTTTGCCACAGATTGATTTCCAGAGGGACTTAGAGGATTCTTAAATACATGAAATATGTGACTTGGAAACGTAGGATGCTTTGGCTTATTTCTGAGTCCTTGAATGAACTGGTACCAAAGATGATAGCCTTTTAACATTACTGCCATGGCACAGTGCCCAGTATGTAGTAGGTAGGCACTCAATAATATTTAGTGAATGAATGGTTACTTTAATTAGCATGAAATTGCTGCTAGACTCAATGATGTGAAAGGAAAGTTGATCCATTTATTGACTGTACCCCTATGAAATGTTGGCTTACCGTCTTTTCATTAAAGCAGAACAGAATTGCCCCAAATTGAGCACAAAATGCCCTGGCTTAATTTTCCCCATTAAAATATACTGCTTTGGTGGCTCAAACACTGCTCATCATGTGCTTTTAATTTGTGCAGGAACATAAAGTACTTCTCACTGGAACACCCTTACAGAACTCTGTGGAGGAGCTCTTCAGTTTGCTAAATTTTTTGGAGCCGTCACAGTTTCCTTCAGAGACTGCTTTCTTGGAGGAGTTTGGAGATCTGAAAACAGAGGAACAGGTAATTAGGGACCTGAAGGACTGAGGGAAACAATGTGATGGTTTCCTTCATCATGGAAAGAGCAGGTCACTATGGGGACAGGATTTAGCAAGTCGTCATATCCCTGGTAAAAGGAGCATTGCATCCTTTATCTTACATATTTGTTTATATTGGAGAGAGCTGATTATTAGCAGTTCTTATTGCTGCAAAGGATAGATGAGTCAATACCCAAAGCATCTTATACTGGTGTTTCATACCTCTTGCTTCACTGATTACTGGTATGTTTAGTGATTTGGCTCATAGCTCCTGGCCTCAGGAGCATGGTGCTTTCTTCTGCCTCCTTCATTCTTCATCCCTTCTCCTACATAATCTGCAGCTTGTTCCCAGGCCCATCTTCTTGAGTACAACACAATCCACAGGTAGTGAGGAAAAGAAGACAGTCACATATTTAGAGTAGTTGACAAGTCCATTTTTTCCACATCAACTGAATTTCCTTTTTTGAAGGTCCAGTCGCGAGTTTATCTTGCTAGACTCAGCTAATTCTAAACAGCTGATATTAAGAAATATCTATCAACTACTAGTAGAAATCTCTACAAAGGATTATAGAAATAAGTAAGATAAGTTTAAATGCCCTAAGAGAAACAAATAATAGAGTTAGGGACTTTAAAAGGACAGGTCACATCTGTTTGAGAATCAGGGAAAGACTTAGGGAGAGAGTACAATTTGAAAATGCATTTTGAGGAATGGGCATGTTTTCACAGGTATAGAGAGAAGAGGTGGTAACCACTTTGCATGGGGGGTGTGGAATAGCATAGTCAGAGCCATGGAATTTATTTAGCAGTGGAGAATCACCTGGTTGACGTGAAAACAGAGCAAATGAATTGAGAAGTAAGAGGCCAGAAGGGCTTGTGGTTGTATTGCGGGAAGATCTTGGAAAGTAGGTTGTAGAATTCAGTGGGTAATAGAGAAGCCATGCAAGGCTTTACTGCAAGAATGACATAATTAGTTCTGCTGAATTAATCTAGCAGTGGTGTGGAAGTAGGTTAGGGCAGAGAAGAAGGGGACTTAAAAGGTTGGAAATTTCACTAACAGATGTCAGGAGTACAGTCTGTGGTTCCAAACTCTTTCTTTTCACTTTTGATGCAAGTCAGACCTTGAGAGCAGTAAATAATCAAACTTAATTCCCCTTCTTTACATTTCCAATATCTATTGATCTTTTAAAAGCCAGCTGCAACCTTCTCTCCATTTTTGGACCATTAGAAATGCATCCTCTTCTCCCATTGCACTTAATTTGTGGTATGCATTTTTTCTTCTTCCTAGACAATGATCTCCTTGAGGACAAGGCCCACATCTTCTCCAAAGTTGTTTGTTGTATTGACCAGCACAGTGTCTGGCATATAGTATACTCTAAATGATTCAAGGTATGAACCAAGTGAAGGGCAAACGCTGAACCCAGCATGTGACAAATTGACATTTGTCCCTATTTTTAACAATTAGCTAGCTATGTCTTTTCTCTTTGGGTTCTTATATAATAATTCCTTAGCCATTTGTGGGATTAGATTCCTAATTACCCTTGGTTGGTTAAATGAAGGTCACTTAAAAGGGTTAGGTTAAAGATTGGGGCCAGGTAGAGAAAACAGTAAAAATGACATCAAATGTCTGTTTTTTATTTTAAAATTTTAAAAAATTTATTTGACAAAGATTATATGTATTTATTATGTACAACATGATATTTTGACATATGTGTATATTGTGAAATGGCTAAATTCAGCTAATTAGTATATGCATTACCTCACATACTTTTTGTGGTGGGGACACTCAAAATCCACTCTCTTCGAGATCTTCAGTACAATACATTGTTACTAACTAGTAATCATGATGTGTTGTAGATCTCTTGAATTTATTCCTCCTATCTAACTAAAATTTTGCATCTTTTGGCCATTATCTTCCAAATTCTCACTTCACCCCAACCCCCAATCTCTGGTAACTGCCATTCTAATCTCTGCTTCTATGAAATATCTATATTTTAAAACACAGACTATAAAAGTTCTTGAAAGCATCTGTTTCCAAAATAAAGCATGTTTAATTTATCATTGTCTAAAATCTGCTTTTGTAAGTAACTCTTCTCAATCACTCTGTGTAAAGCACTTTATAGTTCTTCAGGAAGCATAGCTGCAGCACACAACTTGTTTTTGCAGACTCTGACCCTTTTAAAATTTTTGAACAACCCTCTCTGAATTGAAACTTGATTTATTTTACGCTTTTATTTTACCTTATTTTACTTTTCCATCAGAGTTAATCTTACTAGTATCATATTTTAGCTCCATGTTAACTCAGGTGCTTACTTTGAATCCCTTACTCTGTCATTGTCTTACCGGAAGAGGGAACAGGTCACCTTTTGGTCCAGTCAAGAATGTAGAGATCTGCTATCTAGGCCTGGACTGTTAGAGGAAAAATAGACAAATCGTAGCAAAGAACACCACAAGGCTTAAAGTACCCCTGATGTGACAGATTCCATGATGGAATAGGAAATGTCACCTTTACCATTTATTATTCGCATACTGCTACCCTCAAACATCTGTGCTACTGTTGTTATTTCAAAGATACAGGATTTTGTTTCCAGATTGTCTCTACTTGTTACTCTATTCTCTCAGCATCCAAGTCTTCCCTTTGTAGTATATCACTTTACCTCCTAACATGACTTAAAATATTCTTCACATAATTACTGTACGTGTGTGTGTGTGTGTGTGTGTGTGTGTGTGTGTGTGTGTTAGAGCAAGAGAGAGGTTTATTTTCTCCATCCTAAGAATAGGTACTGTCTTTTATATCTTTCTCCCTTTTTATCTTGTGAGATTGTCACATAGATTCTCGGTAATTGCTTGCAAATTAAAACCAAATCCCTTTGTTCCTTTCAGTACTATTGTAAACTCCCCATTTTCAGGGACTAATTGTGATATTTCTTTTAGTCCACTACCACAGTACTATGCTTAGATGTTCAAGAGCTTATAGTGAAGATTGGAATACCCCAATAATGATTAAATTAAGATTAGAGCAGGTAAATGGGTTTCATTTCTCTGGACAGGTAAAGAAACTGCAATCTATTCTAAAACCAATGATGCTGAGGCGGCTGAAAGATGACGTGGAAAAGAACCTTGCTCCCAAACAAGAAACAATCATTGAGGTAGAACTGACCAATATCCAGAAAAAGTACTATCGTGCCATCCTAGAGAAGAACTTTTCTTTTCTGACCAAGGGGGCAAATCAGCACAACATGCCGAATCTCATCAATACCATGATGGAACTGAGAAAGTGCTGCAACCATCCCTATCTGATCAATGGTGAGTCAGGGCATTGAGGAGTCACTCAGGAGTGGTATGGGTTTCTGGCAGGAGGAAGCAATAACAAATTCATGTACTGAATTCCCTTTATATGCCAGAATGTGTATTCTCACCTTTTTATGGAGGTAAAACTGAAGTTCAGAGAGAGTGATGGATTTGCATAAGCATTATAGTTATAAGTGCCCAGAGCCAAGTTTTGAACTTATTTCTATTGACACACTGCCTCACAGTACATAGTCTGCCTAGCAGAAGATAGATATCACTCATCAGTTTGCTCCCCTTTATTTGCTCGAAATCTACCCATACTTTCCATTTGGGGACAGGGAAATGTGTTACTTAGTAGTTGAATAAATGAAACTGCTGCAATGAGATTAAGACTCTGCCAACAAATTAGCAGTAAACCAACTAGTTAAAGAAGATGTCAGGAGGTGTTTTTTCTTTTACAGTAACACTTTCTGAGAAATTTTAAAAATGGAAATGTGATTTGGATTCTCTTACAGCTGTGTCAAGAGATACGAAGGTCCTTTTTTCTCAACGTTCTGGCAAGGTTTATTTACTTGGGTGAGTCAGCTTAGGACTTGATATCTCAGATCCTCTCTACTTGTTGAGACTTCGCAGGAAAGTGGAGTACCCCCTTTCTATACAAGATGGCCCTGCTGCCACTGCAGAACCCTCTGCTGAGGGCACAGACCAGGATATATATCTAACTTCTCCTCACTGGACTGCTGGTCTATACCTAATACCAAAGAATTCACTTCATTTTCCCCAGGATCTATAAAACTGAACAGCTTTTATCCTTATATTTTGTTCAAGGAATAGTTTTGTTCCTTTTTTTTCAGGGGCGGAAGAGAAAATTCTGGAAGATTTCCGAAAAACTCACAGCCCTGATGCCCCTGACTTTCAGCTTCAGGCCATGATTCAGGCAGCAGGGAAGTTGGTTCTGATTGATAAACTACTCCCAAAGCTGATTGCAGGTGGCCATAAGGTACTCATCTTCTCCCAGATGGTGCGCTGCCTTGATATTCTGGAAGATTATCTCATCCAGAGAAGGTGAGACTTGTGTCAGAGCTCTGCATCCAACACTGGGGCAATTCCTTTTCGTTGTTATCTTTTTGATCCATTCAAAATTTATGTGTTAATAACAACAGTACATTCACAATGGTAGATTAGCTAAAACTCAAGAGTTAAATTTTATGACCAAATATACCTAAATTTAACTGTCTAGAGTGAATTTCATAGCCTACAATATGGAGTCCTTCTTTGCTTAAAGAAAATCTTACCTTTTTTTAAATATTCACTTTAGTTGGAAGAAGCAGAATTCAAATAACATTAGAAAGGGTTAAGAAAATATATTTACATTTTTGTTGCTTAATGATGAGAGAGTAGTGTATCCTGGAAATCAACACTATATCAAGTTTCTAAAAAAGCATAACTTGGAAACTCACAGAGAAAGAATTTGGGGCTATTTTATACCTTAGCAGCCTTCTACGGTTTTATTACATACTAGCTGTGGTATCCTAATTTATTTTCTTGTTCATACTCTTACAATTCTTTGAACATAAACTCCATTTCTCATGCAGGTGAAACGTCAGCAGTGTTATATGTGTTATTTGTATTCCGTGTGGGAACTACATTTGTTATATCATACACTGTACCTTAGATTTTTGGTCATTCTTATACACCAATGTTCTGAAGATGACAAATGAGTTTTTAAAAAATTACTCTTAATGTTAAAAGGCTGTTCAAAACCATGGAAAACTAGTAGCCCAATCATGGCTAAATTTAAAGGAAATCTTTGTTTTCATAATAAATCTCAGGTTTCTTAACAGACTCTTATTCTTTGAAATTCCGTTTGCCCTTATAAATTATTTGTACTTTATAGAAAGAGTATTAAAGGGAATGACTAATTTAACTATGGGTATGCTGACATTTAATGTTATATAAATCTTTGAAGTCTAATTAAGCAAAGAATTTCTCAGAGCTCTGTATTATAGAATTTATATGTAAAGAATTCTTGAGACTTGTATTATATAAATAAATCAAAGCTGGTAAAACAATTTTATAGTTTATAAATTAACTATACATTAGGAACCCATTGCCAGAGCACTAGCTTCTTATCTTATTCTTCAAAATATGTTGTACAACTATTAGTTTTCAGATTTTTTTAAAGAACCCCCCAAAATGAGTTACAGTATATTTAAACAAATTTCCAGTAAATACAGAAGTCTTTATGTAGCTCCCTTTCCTGCTATTTTTTTTAACTCATTGCTCATTTTGTGTTTAAATTACTTAAGTATTCTAGTTTCTCTTGAAAATATGGAAACTTACAACACCAGCATCTGCACAACTTGCCATTTATGATTGTGGGTTTACCTTTTCAGTCTGTTTTCTTTCTACATACTTAATGTTTAGTTTTATTGTTTATTTGTTTGAATTGTGATGATCTACTTTTTAACTTCCATTTTAAATTTAATATGTTATGAAATTTTTTTCTTATTTTTATAACAATTTTGATGGTCTGCATGATATTTTGTCTTAAAAGTTTCCGGTTTTTCAGCATTTTAAGGGACTCTGAATGAATATCCCTTTAAAGTCATTATTTTTAGAATGTTTTTAGTTATTTCCTTAGGATAAATGTTTTTTGAAAACATTTGATACATATAGTATTTCCAAAACACCCTCTCTAGTTGAGTTTTTTATTTATATGCTTTTCAATATTATATAAGTATGTCTTTCCCCATATTCTAATCAATATTGTTTTTACCTCTTAATATTTACTAATTCAGTAAGCCAGAATTATGGTCTCTTATCTTTATTTGTATTTACTAATGAGGATGATTTTTTTTTCATATTTATTAGCTATTTATATTTATTTCGTGGATTGGTTATTTATACTCTTCCTCCATTTTCTGTTGCTTTTTAACTTCTTATTAATTTATAAGAATTATTGTTTACATGAGAGTATTTTGCAAATATTTTTCCTAATGTTGTTTTTGCCTTTTATTTTTGTTTATGGGTGTCAGTTTTCATTTATTTTTAAATGTTCTAAATTTTGTAACAGTCAAATCTTTATCTTCAGCCAACTTTAAACTTGAATACTTATGCTTATACTTAAGCTTCGGTTAATATGCTTTAAAAAGCTTCTCCCACATCTCAACCATGAGATCACATAAATATTCTGAAGAATTTTTTTTCATTCTTTTTTTTTTTTTTTTTTTTAAGAGACAAAGTCTCACTCTGTCGCCCATTCTGGAATTGCAATGGTATGATCAGCTCACCACAACCTTGAATTCCTGGGCTCAAAGAATCCTCTCACCTTAGCCTCCTTAGTAGGTAGGATTACATGTGGACACCCCTATGCCTGGCTAATTTTTTTAAGTTTGTTTAGAGACAGGGTCTTGCTATATTGCTCAGGTTGATCTCAGACTCCTGGCCTCAAGGAATCCTTCCACCTCAGCTTCCTGAGTAGCTGGGATTATAGGCTCAAGTTGCCATGTCTAGCTCTTCTTGTCATTCTTTTATAGTTTCTTTACCCCAGCCGTATCCAACAGGTTTCCTCTGTCATTAATATTATCATTACTGTCATTATTACCATTATCGCTATTTTTCTCTTTTTAGTTTAACTTTTATTTTCATCAAAGTTATACATGCATATAATTTTTTATTTATTTATTTTCTTAAAATTTCAGTAGCTTTGAAGGATATAAATAGTTTTTGGTTTGTCACGTGCCCCTCATCTTCCCTCTTGCCTTCCTTCCCCTAGCAGTGCCCAGCAAATGCTTGTTGATCCCTCCCTTGTGCTAATGTTACTATTGTACAGGCCCTACTTATGAGCAAGAACAAGCAGTATTAAGTTCTTTGTTTCTGTGATAGATCACTTAATATGATGGTCTCTAGCTTCATTCAATCTGCTGTGAAGTCCATGATTTTGTTCTTCTTTATGGAGTATACCTAATACTCCATCATGTATATATACCATGTTTTCTTTATCCTGTCTACTTTTGATGGGCAGTAGGGTTGGTTCCATGTTTTTGCTATTGAGAGTAGTGTGACAATAAACATGCATATGCTTGTGTCTTTTTTGTAGAACAAATTAAGTTATTTCAGGTATATTCCCAGGAGAGAGATTGCTGGATCATATGAAAGGTCAATTTTTAGTTCTTTTAGGAATCATCACATTGCTTTTCATAGAGATTGAAGTAGCTTGCACTCCCACCAACTATGTAGAAGGGTTCCTTTTCTCTGCACTCACACCAGCATCTGTTGTTTTTTGACTTATTAATGATATCCATCCTTACTGGAGTTAGATGGTATCTCATTGTAGTTTTGATTTGCATTTCTCTGATGATTAGTAAGGCTGACCATTGTTTTCATTTGTCTGTAGGCTGCGTGTATGTCTTCTTTTGAGAAATGTGTGTTCATGCCCTTTTTGATGGGGTAGTTTGTTTTTTTCCTTTCACTTCTTTTGAGTTCCTTGTAGATCCTGGATGTTAGACCTTTGTCAGATGCAGATAATTCACAATTTTTTTTTCCCATTTGGTGGGTTGTGTTTTTACTCTCTTGGTGGTTTCTTTCACTGTGCAAAGCTTTTCAGTTTGATGAGGTCCCGCTTGTCTATCTTAGTTCTTATGGCATTTAGTTTTGGGGACTTGGTCATGAATGTGTTGCCTATTCCCATGTGTTTCCTATGTTTTCTTCTAGAGTTCTTATAGTTTGAGGTTTTATGTTTAGGCCTTTGATCCATTTTATGATATATGATTTTTGTATGTGGTGATAGGTGAGGAGTCCAGTTTCTTTCTCTCTCTCTCTCTTTTTTTTTTTTTTTTTTTTTTTGGTCTAGTTTCATTCTTTGTGTATGGTCAGCCAGTTTTCTCAGCATTATTTGCTAAATATGGTCTCCTTTCGCCACTGATTGTTATTGCTAGTATTGTTGAAGATGAGTAGGTTGAGAGACTGTGTTTTTGCTTCCAGAATCTCGATCCTGTTCCATTAGTCTGTGTACCTATTCTACCAATACCAGGCTGGTTTGGTTACCGTAGCCTTGCAAAAAAGTTTGTCTGAAAGTGTGATACCTCTCACTTTGTTCCTTTTGCTGAGGATTGTTTTGGCTATTTGTGCTCTTTTTTTGTTTCCATATGAATTTCTGTATTGCCATTTCAAGGTCTGAGTAGAATGATGTTGGTAATTTAATGGGTTTTGCATTGAATCTGTAGATTGCCTTGGGTAGGATGGACATCTTGACAGTATTGATTCTTCTAATCAAGAGTATGGAATGTTTTTCCATTTATTTGTGTGACCCTTGACTTCTCTGAGCAGTGTTTTGTAGTTCTCATTGTAAAGGTCTTTCACTTCTTTTGTCAGGTGATTGCCAAGATATTTCTTTTTCTTTCTTTCTTTTTTTATTTTGTGTGTGTGTGTGTGTGTGTGTGGAGAGAGAGATTTTTATTTGGTTCTCTGCCTGTTTATTACTGGTGTATAGAAATATAACTGTCTTTTGATGTTGATTTTATACCCCAAAACTTTACCAAAGTCATTTATCAGATCAAGGAGGTTTTTGACAGACTCCCTTGGGTTTTTAAAGTATAAGATCACATTGTCCACAAAGAGGGATAACTTAACTTCCTTTTTTCCTATTTGGGTACCCCTGATTTCCTTCTCTTGTCTGATTGTTCTAACAAGGATTTCCAATACTGTGTTGATCAGGAGGGGTGAGAGTAGGCAGCCTTGTCTTGTTCCCATTTTCATGGAGAATGCTTCCAACTTCTGTCCATTGAGTAAAATATTGGCTGTGGGTTCATCATAGATGGCTCTTACTCTTTTGAGGAATGTTCCTTCTATGCCTAAGGTGTTCAGGGGTTTTTATCAAGAAGGGATGCTGGGATTTTGTTGAAAGCTTTTTGTGCATCTAATGATATTATCATGTGGTCCTTGTTTTTGTATCTATCAATGTATTAAATTACGCTTATAGTCTTGCCAGTGTTAAACCAATCTGCATCCTGGAAATGAAACCTACTTGGTCATGGTTGATGATTCTTGAGGTGGGTTGTTGG